TTGGGGGCCTCCAGATGTGTTAAGCGGGCAAGCTAGCTGGGCATTTTTGGAGCTGTAGTTCCAACACATCTGGAGGACATTATGTTGAGGGAGGCTGACATGGAATGCAGAGGTGATGGGTTTTATTTCTCTTTCTGCCTTTGGAGTGCCCTTCTCTGGGAAAAGCGTTCAACCCATAGAAAGGTGCAAGAGGCTTATTTGTTTCATATTTTATTTTATCAGGCATTAATGAAGGTTTTATCTTCTACTGCTAATTTTAAATATTATATCTACGTTCTTTTCACTGCATATTATTTTAAGATTTTATTGTGGATCTGCACAGTTAAGTAAACTTCGTGGGCTGCCTTTAAGACGGCATCATAAGCAGAAGGGGATGCTGTAGTCAGGAGGAGGACTAAGACAGGGAAAGAAGTGGTTCACACACCAACCAACCAAATCTCAAAGTTGTTTTTCTCTGGGGCAGAAATTGCTTATCTATGTTTCCTCTGAGGAACTTAGATTCTGTACCTCAAGAGCTGACAGACGTTTCAGTGCCAAAAAAGTTTTAAAATCGAACTTCCCAAATCTTACAGGATTTTAGCAGATTTGTCTTTGATTTTGGAATTCTCGTCTTAAGAGTGTGAAATATTGGCCTCCTGTCCTGCAATTTTATCTCACAGAGGAACACTGGAGTCTTGCTAGAATTGGCAATCGATTGGCAGGATTTGGGTCGTTTTAATTGTTTTTTAATATATGTTTATTAGACGCTTAGAGAAAATATAAAAACAGGAAAGAAAAACAACAGGAAAAGGGATGAAAGGGTAGGACACAAATGAGTAAACAAGTGATTTAGAAATATCATAAAATTACATCATTTGCTTGTGAATAATTGAATATATTATTCAGTCGTTAGCCTGAAAATCACTATTAAGCTCTAAGCATAGCATGAATATTAGAAACCATGTTCAGCACAGTATAAATCCTAACATGAAATTGGGAAGTGCAATAAATTCTGCCATACTATTAAAAGTTTATTCTAATTCAAGAAGTCCTATAAAGTTGAAATATTGACTTTATGCAAGGAGAAACAGACATTTTGGATGTGGTTTAAATTCTATGTCAGATATGAGGTTACTCTAGACATCAAAGCATAACTTAGTAGTCTTTCCTCCATAGAAGGGATCAAACATCCTTTCCCATAAAAGGGATATGATATCCTTGCAGCAGTTAGCATATACAAAGCTAATTCAGCATATTCTGTGGGAATATATGGTTAGTAAAGTTTAATAAAAAATATTGCAATTGTAAGGGGAATTCAACTTTTAACATTTGTTTCATTCTAGTATGAATTAGTTTCTAAAATCATTGAGAATAACAACATTGCCACCAGATATGAAAGAATGATCTTTACATTTCCAACAATTCTTAGAAAATGAACTGTCCATTTTAGCTGTCAAGACCGGAGAAATATACCAGTTCTAAAACATCTTATATCAATTTTTTCTAAGCATAATATTTGGTGTAAATGTAACATTCTTTTCCCACTGAAATTCTCTTTGTTGCATATCTATTATTGCATCTAAATTTTGCACCCATTTAATCATACAGTCTTTGATCTGTTTGAGTCATATTTCATCAGCAGTTTATAAATAAGTCCCAGCAGACATTCCTCTGAGTTACATATTAAAAGATTTTAAAATTTAGTCAAGTTGCTTAGTGATTCCTCTTGTTTCTGCAGCCCTTTTAATACTCTGCTTCCTATTTGAAGATACTGGAACCAGTCAAGTAGACTAAGTCATGGAGTAAGGATCTCAAAAGAGTTTATCTTTGTCATGCTGATAATCAGATCTTGCAGTCTAAACAAATTATTCTCTCTCCCTTAAGTGAATTTCTTCGTGCTTTCCTCTTCATAAAAATAAACATTTAAGAGCGAAGCAAGGGGGGAATAAATCTGGGTGAATTCTTTTTCTGCATTTATCCTAGACAGTCAAATACATTACTTACTATTGCATTATCCCTTAAAGATGTTGCTTTCTCTTTGTATCAGTCCAGATATATTTAAGCAGTCCAGGCCATTTCAGAAATTTGTATTGCATTTATTGGGGGGTTCCCTGGGTGCCCTCTAAAGAATTCTTTGAGCTGTCGTTCTTGTTGAGGTCTCTAGCGGTCCCAAGTAAAAAAATAGGAGAAGGCATCTCTGATTGATTCATCTATTCATTTAATCGATTCTTCTTCTGATTCACAGGAATGGGCAAGTTATGACTCATGGTCCATATATCTCAGGTCCACATATTTCTGACCCCAGCTTTCCTAACGAACAGGGGCCCTTTTCACACGTGGCTTCATCCTGTTTGCGGACATTTCAACACCTGTATCCTTAGTTATGGAATTCTTTTTCCTCTTTACCGCAGCTTCACATATTTTTGGAAAGTTTCAGGAGAAACTTGGAAACTTTGGTTAAGTGCCACCAAGTTCACTCTTAACCACATAGATGTATTTTCTCTAGGACAATCTGTTCCCAACCACCGCTTCAATTTAGTTCATGCACCTTTCTGCAGGTCGCCCTGTTCTCTTTCTTTTCACCTTTCCCGGCATGATGGACTTCTCAAAGGAGCTGAGTCTTCCTATAATCGGCGCGACAGAGTTTGGTCGTTCATGTTAATTTTGGACACTTGCATATATAATAAAGCAGACTAATTCATTTTTTACAACAATTTTTTGTTGTAAAAAATAAAATTTATTAAAAAAAAAAAGCAGACTAATTCATAAAGTAGTTGTTAGTGGATGTTGAGAACTGCAGTTAATACAATTAGATGGTGAGGCTGTTTCGTTGTAAATCTTATTAACAAAGCTGGATGGCAGGATTATCAGGGTTATGAATTTAGAATTTTATTATGTTGCTTTTATTGGGACAGTAAATATATCACGGTGTGTATTGATTGTCTTCCTTTTGCTGGTTTTTGTTAATGTTGCTTGTGGACTGTTTGTTGTTTGACTGCTGAATGCGAGCAGCGTTGCTCACAGCTCTCCTCTGGTAACAGGCATGTGATCGCTCCCCGTCCAGAGGTGAAGTGGTGCGTGAACACGGGCTGCTCTCCGCATTATTTCGTGATGGAAATCTTGGCTGTTGCTTCTTTCTGAGCGTAATGGAGGCTTAGCTTCGTTGCCCGAGAAATGGCACAGAAATGAATTCAGAATCAAAGCTGAACTTCTGTTTGGGTCAACGTGTCTTAGCTCTCCTGCTTTACCGAGACGAGGAGGATAGAGATCGCGCCGCAGAATCAGAGCCCACAATTGGGCCCTTTCCCCCCATTTAGGAAAAAGTGTGAGAGAATTCTTGACCCCGGTTCCTCACTGAGTACACACTTATGGAAAGTTGGCTTGTCAGCAAAATCATATGAAGAACTCAGAACCCTCCGGAGGAATTGTTGCAAGCAAAGTGGTCTGACGTAGCCCTTCAGTCCTTCCTCACCTGGTCCTTTCCAAAGGTGTTCAGTCTATTGTAGTCCCCGACATATTTCTAGAGGTGCCAGGTTGGTGCAGGGTGCAGCGGTGCCTCAACTTTTACAAAGATCTCTTGAAAAAGTTCACTGTACTGTAGCTCTGTCTCCTTCTATCAGAACCCTCCAGATTTTGTGTCATCCATGGCCAGCTTGACTAATGTCTTATGCAGGGAAGTCCAGCACATCTAGAAGACCCCACATTGGGAAGCTTGGCCTAACTAGTCTAAGCCAAAACCACGTGGGCATATGTGTGCGCCTTTCATGTTTTGTTTCATTTTAAGCCATGCTTCCTCTTTCTAATTTAAGTTTCCATTGTCGGCCATCAGGTTGTAAACTGTGCTTTTGTTTACTGGTAGAATTGGTGCTAAATATAAAGTTTCTATAGGCTTGGGAGCTTCAGAGCTCGCTCCATTTCTGCTCCCCGTCCCATAGCTAATTGCATGCCCTGATCACATTTTTTAAAACATAAAACTCATTTGAGGAGTAGCTGAATTCTGTAAACAACGTAAATGAACCAAATCTACATTTATGAAATAATTTTGTGAACTGTTTCCTCTTGGACTAGTGACTGAGAAGGGCTTCTGAGCTTCTAACAGTTCTTTTGTACATACTATAGTTGATCGTTGGAAGGAGAGAGAGAGAAGCTTCAACTGTTTGGTGATGGGGAACATCCTGCAGAGGGTTGTCTGTGTTCTGTCCGCACTAGAGAAGAAGTGGTGGTCTTTTCAAAAGTATCACATAGGGACTTTCCAAGGCCGGATTGATAGTTCTGTATGTCTAAACAATGGCTTGTTTGGAATAAATGAAGATAATCTCAGCTCAGCCTCTGAGGCTGAATGTGTACTTAATAAATTTAAGATAAGAGTATTTTATAAACGGACACTGGACAGTTAATACTACAGAGTCTGGAATGGAAGTCCCTTATTAGATCATAGTTTAAATTCTGGCCAAGAGTTTCAAGCAGACAGTTCCTGCTTCATTTGCTTCTGGCACAAATTCAGCCTGAACCATTGCACATTCCCAGCATTGGCCAGACCGGTCTCATAGACAGGGCAGAGCAGCGCAGGCATTCACTGAAATCATGGACCCAGTTCTTCCTCACTTGCAAGTGGATTGGGGTGGTCTCAAGCTTTTCTCTTTGCCTTAACAATGGGGGCGAATACCATTTGGATTCAGTTCAGCACTGGACGCCGATTGACTCATTTTAAACCAGAGAACCACAAGAGAGTATGCAGTAGGAAGTAATAAACACATGACGTCTGTGAGAAGTGTGAGTTCTAATTTGGCATGCATTTGAAATCTTCTGACACATGGTGCACTTTGATTTCACCATATATGGAGAGTGAAAGTGGAAAGGTCCTACTGATAAGTCATCTGATTCCCCAATGGACCTCCCTAGGCTGTCCTTTTTGGGGGAAGAGGAGGAGAGCAAAGAGGGAGCTAAAGCTAAGAGTGTCCTCGTCTCTTTCTCAGAGCATTGTGCAACCTCACTGACTCTGTGCCTAGCAAGAACATCCGCTGCTGATGGGGATGATATAACAAGCTTTATCAAGATGGCATCCTCCAAACGTGCTAGGATGCCATTCCTTCTGTCACACTGGTTGGCATTTCTGGGTTCTGGATGGCAGAGAGTTTAATAGGACACACCATGTGGGAAACAGAACTGCAGGAAAGTCAGGACAACAGGATACCCTGCTCCGCAGCAGCATGTTGGCTTTCTTCAAGGGTCGTGATCCACCTGTGGATTCTGACGATCTGGTTTGTCTGTTTTTGGCTTAGCAAATTATGTGACTTCAGCTGCTGCATCTGTGAACCATAGTTTCATAGAATCATAGGGTTGGAAGGGATCATAAAGGTCATTGGATCCAACCCTTGCTCGGTTCAAGATCCATTTAGGACAAAGGGTTATCCAGTCTCTGTTTGAAAACCTCCAATAAAGGAGAATTCACCACTTCATGTGGCAGCCTGTTCCACTGGCTAGCAATGTACAGTCAGGAAATTCCTTCTCATGTCTAACCTGAACCTGCTTCCTTGCAGTTTTAATCCATCAGTTCTGGTCCTGCCCTCTGGGCAACAGAGGTCTAACTCACTCCTTCCTCTATATAACAAACTTTTAGATACCTGAAAACTTGCTTTCGTATCTTCCCTCCGTCTTCTCTTCCACAGGTTAAGCATACTTAGTTCCTCATATGACTTGGTTTCCAGTCCCCTTCTCATCTTGGGAGTCTCCTCTGAACTTGCTTCACTTTGTCAATGTAAATGCAAAGTTCCCTGCTTAGTGCCTCGTGAAAATCCAGCTACTAATTTTTTGTCTAGCAAATCATGTTTAAAATAGTGGCTTAATGTAGGGCTTTTTTTTTTTTTTTTGAGGCTGGTGTATCACCTCCCTGCTCTTACCCCATTTTCTACTCCAGTGTTTCTCAATCTTGGCAACTTTAAGATGTGTGGACTTCAACTCCCAGAATTCTCCA